GTGGTCAGCGGCAGGTAAGGGCCCTGGCGCCTCGGGGCGGGGGGGCGCTGTCACCCCGGCCCCGGCGCGCCCGGGGCTCACTGCCATCCAGCCTCGGGTCCAAGGAGAACCGAAGAGTGGATCCTGAGAGACTGTGCTCGCTCCCTTGTGGGGCAGGATCTGGGGCCCCGGGGTACAAATCTGGGCCTGGGTGACAGTGTGGAATGACCGCATGCCCCCCCCCCCCCCAGCCCCCATCCTCCTTCGAGAGCAAGGGCTGCGCAGCTCAGTCCTGGGAGAGGGTAAGCTCGGGGGAGGGGGCCCAGCAGCACCCGCGGAGTCCGCATCCCGGGCGCTGAGGTTATACAGGCTGAGAGGCCATCCGAGTGACCACTGACGGTCTGGCCCCCGGAAGTATAAATACATGGATCAGATTTCCAAACACAGCTTCCAGAGCAACTTTAGACTGATGGCTAAAACCCAACCCATGGATCTTAAGTTTTAAAAAAAATTTTAACGTTTATTCACCCTGGAGAGACAGAGACAGAACATGAGTGGGGGAGGGGCAGACACAGAACCGGAAGCAGGTTCCAGGCCTGGAGCTGTCAGCACAGAGCCCGATGCGGGTCTCAAACTCACAAACCGCGAGATCATGACCTGAGCCGAAGTCGGACGCTTAACCCACTGAGCCACCCAGGTGCCCCATGGATTTTAAATTTAAGGCGAACAGTTTTCAGCCCCGAGATGCCCACCTGAATCCTTTGTGAGATCTGATCCGCCCAGGAATGTGCCTGAGGTCAGGGTTATGTGCCCTTCTTCCCACGTCAGCCACAAAAGGCAAAAGGGAGACATTGGCAAAGCTTCCTGCAATCATAGGATTAAGAATTTCAATACTGATAGAATTTCTGATTTTTTTCCAAAATATATCATTACATTGATCAATTTTGTGCTACTATCTTTTTAAATGTTTATTTATTTCTGAGACAGAGCGTGAGCGGGGTGGGGCAGACAGAGAGGGAGACACAGAATCCGAAGCAGGCTCCAGGCTCCGAGCTGTCAGCACAGAGCCCGACGTGGGGCTCGAACTCACTGACCGTGAGATCATCAGCTGAGCCAAAGTCGGAAGCTCAACCCACTGAGCCCCCCAGGCGCCCCAATTTTGAGCTACTATTGATGTCACTGATAACTCTATTTTAACAAAGTCACAGGAACACAGACGTTAAATCTCAGTGTTCATACAGTTTTTACAATAGAGTGATACAGTAATCAAGTATAGAGACTTTGAAGCATAAAGATAGATTTGTCTAATTCTGAGGCAGGAGTGAATAGAAGTCCTGTTTCTTGGAAAACGAGAACAAGAAGTGATTGAACATATTTCAATCCTTCAGTGCTCAGATTTACTTTTTAAAATGGATAGTGATGGAAATCACGTCACTGTGGGTGGCTTTTATTCTTGGCAAAGCATTGAAGACAGCAATGGAACACTTTTTTTTTTTTAAGTTTATTTATTTTGAGAGAGAGAGAGAGCGTGTGAGTGAGCAGGTGAGTAAGGGGCGGGGGGAGGGGGGAGAGAGGGGGGAGAGAGAGAGAGAGAGAGAGAGAGAGAGAGAGAGGGAGAATCCCAAGCAGGCTCCACACTGTCAGTGAAGAGCCCAACGTGGAGCTGGATCCCATGAGTCACGAGATCATGACCTGAACCTAAATCAAGAGTCAGAGGGGCGCCTGGGTGGCGCAGTCGGTTGAGCGTCCGACTTCAGCCAGGTCGCGATCTCGCGGTCCGTGAGTTCGAGCCCCGCATCAGGCTCTGGGCTGATGGCTCGGAGCCTGGAGCCTGTTTCCGATTCTGTGTCTCCCTCTCTCTCTGCCCCTCCCCCGTTCATGCTCTGTCTCTCTCTGTCCCAAAAAAAAAAAAAAAAAAAAGAGTCAGATGCTTAACCAGCTGAGCCACCCAGGCGCACTTGTATTTTAAAATGTCACTATTTAGGGGGCGCCTGGGTGGCTCAGCCTGTTGCGTGTCTGACTTCGGCTCACATCGCGAACTCACGGTTCATGGGTTCAAGCCCCGCGTTGGACTCTGTGCTGACAGCTCGGAGCCTGGAGCCTGCTTCGGATTCTGTGTCTCCTTCTCTCTCTCTGCCCCTCCCCTGCTCATGCTCTGCCTCTCTCTCTCTCAAAAATAAATGTAAAGTTAAAAAAAAATTTTAAATGTCAGTATTTAGATTCTCCCTGAAATTTTATGCTTTGCAGCTGTTTATACTGAAAATTCTAGGTGGCAACTCGATGTGCACAGGGCTATGTACACCTTAAAAATTGCTTCGTGAGGTGTGCATGCAGGGACCGGAAACAGCCTCGGTGTATGGCTGGGAGGGGAGCTGTTGAGTCGTGGGACACGGCATCTTCTCCCATGCTAAGTGATGTCAACCTGTTTCCCACGGTGGTACCACCCGCCCCCACGCCCGGCGTGGCACTTGCTCCCCAGGGGGAACCCAGCAACCGGGCTTCATGCGACAGGGGGTTCCAGTGACAGGAGTTTCCGGTTTCTTACAGAGCGGTCCGTGTCCTCAGTACATTTCTCCTGTGGAAGTTTCGCTTGAGGCACATGCCACATTATTCTAGGTTTACAAACGAATAGGTGCATGATGTTCTATCAGCGAACGTATGATGGTTTACTTGCCGTCCTTGTATTCTCAACCCAGTTTTTAGTTACGCTGAAAAATACCATTTTACTGAGGTAGGATTAAGATATAAAAACTGTGAATATTGACTGTGACCTACCCGATGGGCCTGTAGCTAAGTGTACCCCCGTGAAACCACTGCCACTGTCAATCTGCTTCCGTATTTTTTAGGAAAGTGGCCTCTGAGTCCTGTCGCGATACTCTCATATGTGCGAATGCACGCAGAGAGACAGAATGCCTCCCTGACAAGTACAAATATTATTTTGAAAGTCATGTTCTTTCTTTACATATATATATTTTTAATTTTTTTAATGTTTATTTATTTTTGAGAGGGAGAGAGGAGCAGAGAGAGAGAGACATGGAGACAGAACTGGAAGCAGACTCCAGGCTGGGAGCTGTCAGCACAGAGCCCGACACGGGGCTTGAACTCCCGAACCGTGAGATCATGACCTGAGCTGCAGTCGGATGCTTAACCAACTGAGCCACCCAGGCGTCCCCATTTTCTTTCTTTATTTATCTTTTTATTTATTTTGAGAGAGAGAGAGAGAACACACACACAAGTACAAGCAGGGGAGGGGCAAAGAGAGGGAGACAGAGAGTCCCAAGCTCCCACGCAGGCTCCGCGCCTTCAACGCAGAGCCCGACGCGGGGCTCCATCTCACAAACCATGAGATGGCGACCTGAGCCGAAACCAGTCGTCAGATGCTTAACCGACTGAGCCACCTGGGCTCCCCTGAACACCATTTCCAAACTGTGAACACGTTCTTCCAATTTTATCCTTTAAAAAATTGCTTTTCCTTACAAAGTAGAAACTACCACTGGGTAGTTTGTAGCCAGGAGAATACGGGCAGCTTTAAGAAGGGATATGAAAACACTTTCCTCTTTCCCAGCAGTGAAGTATAACCCTTTCTCCCAGGCTTCCTGCGGGATTAAGTGAGTCAGAGCTGCAGCCTGTGGGCTTTCGTAACTGGGTCCTTGGCATCGTGACCCTTGCTGATACAGCAGGTGCTTGCTTGGGGAACTGGTTTTATATGTCACGCTCTTTAATAATACCCGAGCGGGTTGAAGTCCCAATTCCTGACCCTTGCCTCAAATCTACTAATTACTAATCGATGTGGTTTCTCTCTCCGGTTTTTCTAGAGAACATGTCCCATAGTTCATGGGACAAGCAAGCAGTTTGTAATTTGTAATCAGCCCCTTAAGCATGCTTTCTCCTGTTAGGAAAGATTCTCCTAGAGAGAACATTAGTTCATTGCAGTCTGATGATGGCGTTCTGTGTATGACTGATGTTTGTTCTTTTTTTTTTTTTTTTTAAGCTTCCTTTGGATTTAGAAACTTAAATGAAAGACTCAGTCTGTTCTTATAGAAATTATGACGTAAGAATTCTTGTTCTGGGCCGTTCTTTTTTGTTTTTTTAAGTTTATTTAATTTCGAGAGAGAGAACACACACACACACACACACACACACACACACACACACAACTTGAGAAGGAGCAGAAAGAGAGAGAGAGAATTCCAAGCATGCTCAGTGCAAAGCCTGACACAGGGCTTAGTCTCACGAACCGTGAGAACATGATCTGAACCCAAATCAAGAGTCGAACGCTCGACCGACGGAGCCGCCCAGGCGCCCCTGTTCTTTCTGGGCCATTCCTAAGAGAAATGCTGTGGTCTGTGTTTAGGAATGGTGTTACCAGCACGGCACGTGGGTAGTAAACGAGGCCACCAATTCAGTTCCATCGCTTTAGCTGGGGCACACTTAACGAAAAGACCTTTGAAAAGACCTTAGCCAAAAGAGAGCCTCATAAGCTGTGTCAGCCTCTAGAATGTTGGGGCTGTGTCTTTCGACGTGGGAAATCAGGTCCATGTTGGCACATAAACCCAGGAGGCCCCAGGGCAGGAAAAGGCCGATGTTCCCTCTGCGGAAACACAGGAAATCTCCCTCGGAATTCATGCCTGCGATTCTTTCAGCAGAGGCCGTTGGACCCCCTTCCGCACAGACGCACTTAAAATTGTCCAGGGGTTTTCGGGCTCCAGAGTTTCTGGAACAGCACAGGCTCTCATAGCACAGGCATTGGGTTTCGCGTTCCTTCTGG